CGGCAGATTATTGGGTGATGGAATGGAAGGCGACCAACCACAGCACTGTGTTCTGTATTCTGGGTGCTGATTGGCTCAGTGGCCATAGCATCGATCTGGTTGCTCTCCGGCACTGTGCCCATACATTCAGTATCTCCCCTTGTCCACTTTACATAGACATCTGATCACTGCACATAGTGTTGCTCCGTGGTGTTGTGTTTTTGTGAATTTTTCATAGAAGTTTGAATTTATTTCAAGCTCTACGATGCCATGTTCTGCATTTTCTAAGGCTTCTAGCAGTGAACCCAAGCACCAGAAGAAGATGCTTACCATCAAAGAAAAGCTAGAATTTCTCAACATATTAAAGGAAGGCAAAAGCTATGCAGGTGTAGGCCACCATTATGGGATCAACGAATATATTGTTCACTACATAAAGACGAGAAGAATATTAGGTCTACAGCAACAATGACTTTTAACAACACTTCCTGCAATAAGGTCATTGTGAGAATGGAGTCTGCATTGGCCCTGTGGATAAATGACTGCAGGAAGAAGAATATCTCGCTGGATACCAACACCATCTGGATGAAGGCCAAGAAACTTTATGGTAATTCTGTGGAAAGCAGGATGTTCATGACAGTAATGAGGATGAAGACGAGGATGATGACAGAAGCAAGACTGCTGAGTGCTTCTCCCACAGACCCATCCCATTCAGTGCCAGGAAAGGCTGGTTTGACAAATTTCAAAGACACTTTGCACTCAAGAGCATTTCTCTGCATGGAGAAGGTGCCTCTGCAGATAAAAGCTAGAACCAAGGAATACGTGAACAACATGCTCAAGGAAGGGTAATATAAGCCTGAACAAGGTTGGTTGTTTTGGTGATGGTGGTGGTGGTGGTCGTCATCGTGGGGCTTCATCTTTGGGCCTGGACACTTCAGCTCAAGGCGAGTGCTCTGCCACTTGAGCCACAGTGCCATTTCCCATTTTCTGGTAGTTAATTGGAAATTACAATCTCACGGACTTTCCTGCCCTGGCTGGCTTTGAACTGCGGTCCTCAGATCTCAGCCTCCTGAGTAGCTAGGATTACAGGTGTGAGCCACCAGCGCCCAGCTCGGAACACGTTCTTAACATGAGCGAAATGGGTTGCACACAGATACCATCTTGCACTATTCTGAAGGACAAAGCCAAAGCTCTTGGCTTTAAGGCCCCAAAATATTGAGTAACTCTGATTATGTGTGAGAATGCTATGGGCTTTATGATAAAGCCAGGTCTAATTTATAAGTCAAAAAACCCAACGGCCCTAACAAATAAAAATGTGTTGCCTGTGTACTGGATGCCTAACCCCAAGGCCTGGATCATGAAACTCCTCACGGCTGCTTAGTTCCAACTGTGCTTTTTCCTGGAGGGTAAGCTTTATCTGGCAGAGAAAAACCTCGAGTTCAAAGTGCTTCTGATCATGGACAATGCTAGAGGCCATATTGTCATTCTGTCATATAATGGCATCCAGATAGATTCCTTGTCTCCAAACACCACATTAGTCATTTAGTCCATGGATCAAGGAGTTATTTATGCTTTTAAGGAGCTCTGCACATGAAACACCCGGCAAAACCTGGTTGAAGCTCTGGACCTGGATGAAAACTTCTTGCTAAAGGTATCCTGGCATGATGACAATAGTGAATTGTTGTCTCCTAAATATTCAGAAGGCCATAAAGGAGATGAAGAGTGAAACTAAATGCCAGCTGGAAAAATCGATGGCCAGAGGTGGTCCATGATTGGGGATTTTCTGCTGATAATGCCCCTCACTCTGTGATAGCTAAGGCTGTGAAGCTGGCAAAAAACTACTAGGAGGAGATGGTTTCAATGGAATGACTCCTAATTATGTGAATGACCTCATCAGTGTCCACTCAAAACCATTAATGGGGGGCTGGGAAGGTGGCTCAGTGGTAGAGCGCTTGCCTTGCATGCATGAGGCCCTGGGTTCGATTCCTCAGCACCACATAAGCAGAAAGAAAAAAAAAAGCCGGAATGGGGCTGGGAAGGTGGCTCAGTGGTAGAGCGCTTGCCTTGCATGCCTGAGGCCCTGGGTTCGATTCCTCAGCACCACATAAGCAAAAAGAAAACAGCCAGAAGTGGCGCTGTGGCTCAAGTGGTAGAGTCCTAGCCTTGAGCTGAAGAGCTGAGGGACAGCGCCCAGGCCCAGAGTTCAGGCCCCATGACCGGACCCCCCCAAAAAAACAAAACAAAACCACTAATGGGTGAAGACCTGATGCAGATGACAAAGTCAGCAAGTGAAGAAGAGGATGAGGAACAAGACGAACTATGGGTTAGAGAAGAGGAGGAGGCTGCAACCATGGTCAGAATGGCCAAAGAACTACAGTAAGTGGATGAAGAATGGGACTCCCAGATGATTCGTTCATTGCACTTCTTCATAAATACAATCAAGAGTGGCATGTCAGTTTATGAAAGCCTTTTCACTCCGAAGAAGAGGTAGTGTCAGCAACTCCCCGTAACTATGGTCATCACTCAGATAAAGAGATGAGTTATGCTTATGCCTTTATCAGAAATAGAAGTTAGGGGCCAGGGCAAAGATACTGCACTACCTGATAAGCGCCTGATGAAGTAGTGCCTTCAGAAGAGCTGTAATGCTCTGCTTGGCTGTGTAGTACATTCATCTCAGCGTCATCACCTTCATCACCATCAGCACTGCACAGCTATATACTTCATCATTCTCATTCAATTTGTTAAAATTATGTGTGTTTAAGAGCATAGAAAGTGTTTAATAGTATATGAAGTGTTTATAAGAGTGTGGGAAAGGTTAGTAAGTGTGGGAAAGGCTTATAGGAGAAAGGGAAGCCTTAAATTATATATAATTAAATAAATATAATGCTGCTACTTCTCAGACTTTCACCTGTCATGGGGGAGTCTCTGGAACATAACTGTGACAGGTGAGATATCACTGTAGTCATTTAGAAAAACGATGTTCAATTGTATTATGTGCAGATTAAAAGTGTCAGGGAAAAAGGTAAATCCAGTGCTAGAACTGTCAATGAATAAAAGGCAGGAGCAGGAGGAGGCCAGCAATGCGATCTACAAGAGGAATAGATAAGGACAGCCCTTTAAAGGAGAGAGAAAGGCTTGGGTAGGTATGTAACTCACTTAGTAACCCAAGAAGGTTAAGTATGGATGCAGCTAAGAAGGTCTGGTAGTTATATTGCTTAAGAATGATTTATAAGAACTTTTCCCCCATCAGCTTGACCTACACTAAGCTGCACTGGTCTTAGGGCACCTGAGAAGAATCAAAGAGGATGCGGTTAGGCTCAAGAGACTCCTTAATGAAACATCTCCAGGACCAACCACCACAGGGGTATTACATTCTATGAGAAAACAAGCTCAGAGTATTTGTGGGTTTTTTCCTTCACTTGTATCATTAAATTTCGACTACTTCTGTGTTTAAATTGCTATTAATATGTTGAACTTTTGGGGGTATTCATTATTAAAAAAAAAAAAAAAAAGCACCAGGCACCAGTGGCTCATGCCTATAATCCTAGCTACTTGAGGATGAGGTCTGAGCATCACAATTCAAAGCCAGCCAAGGCAGGAAGGCCATGAGACTTTCTTCTCCACTTAACCACCAAAAAGTCAGAAGTAGAATTGTATCTCAAGTGGTTAAGAGTGCCAACCTTCAGCTAAAAAGCTAAAAAGAGACAGCACTTAGTTCTGAGTTCAAGCCCTAGTACCCACAAACACAATAATTTCTCCTGTTTGTAACACTTTTTTTTTTGTGTAGTCTCAGATGAATTTTATGTTCTAACAACAGAAGAGTACTTTCAAAACTGCTAGAAAGCAAATATTTTCTCTCCCACGATCAAGGTAATCAGGGAGAAATGAGAACTTTCCTGATGATTAGCCAGTGGGAGGTACTTTGTTGAAGGCTGAGCAAAACTAACAGTCTGGCATGTGTCACCAAACTTATGAAAAGATGACTGTAGTCACTCATGCAATGATAATCTTTCTCCTAAAAGACTCCTACACCATTTTTCTTTTTCAAATAGAAAATAAGCAGCGGGTGCCAATGTCTTTATTCCCATTTTACTACAAAGGAAATAACATGAACAATTTATCTGTTAGTCAGAAAGCATTTTATAACCCCAAACATTTACTCACTGAGAACTGTAACTCCCTTGTAGAATTCAAAGAGATTTTGAACAGTAACTACTAGAGCAGCCCCTCAGCCCTCAGTTCTGAACCCTCATTGTTTTTCAACACCACCTAACTGAACTGTTAGCAGCCAGTGCTTTACAATTTAGTCAGATGCCAAAGCTGCAAGCCATTTAGGGAATCATAAATGAAAAAACTGTGTACTTTCAAAAGCTGCCAGCTGTTGTCATTTATTTTTATTTTTTAATAAAATAATCATATTCATTAGCCCACCAGCTAGCAAGAATTAGACATTTATTGGTAGAACGAACAACAAATGAGCAAGGTTCTTGTGTGCGCTTGAAATACAGCCTGTCATTTCAGTGTATTTTAATTTATTCACAGAATATTCGGCTTATTTTACATGACTGCTCACACGTGGGGTGGAATTCTCCCGCACTGTAGGAACAGACGAAGAGATGCCCATTTCCAGCCATCAGCCAGTCAGGTGGGGGAGGTATTTAATCCTTGGCTTGCTCGCTCTCTCTGGTTTTTTAGAGGCACAGGATCATTTTCTGGGTGCATTGGAGAAAGGGGGAGAGCCTCTTCCCACCTACTGATCAAACTTTTTTTTTTTAAAAAAAAATACTCTCTTCCACCTCCGGAATCTCAGAAGGGGAAGGGGAATATTGTAGGCTTTCAGTCCTGGAGAAGCTCCGCGGTCGGCTCTGCCCACCGTCGGCCCTTCCCAAGGCAGCGGTCACCACCTCCTCCGGCCGGCCAGCGGGGACGGCGCCGTCCGGGCGGGCGCTGCCACATCCACTCCTGCAGGCGCAACCCGACCAGCGCTCCACGCGGGGCTACGCAGGATCCCGCAGCTCGGAGCCCCCCGTTTGTGTGACCCCCCCCCCTTTATTTATTCAGCTAAAGAACCGCTCATAACACTGATCTCATTTGTACGCGGTGGGGGACGCGATGTTGGGGACGCTGGTAAGGACCGACTGGGGAGCAGCGCGTGCCGAGCCCAGGGTGTCCGGGGTGAGCGGCGTCTGCGTCCTCGGGTGCCGCGGGGGGCTTCGTGCGGGGCGTCAGATGCCGGGCGCCGGGGGCGGGCGGATGACGAGGCGGGGCGCGGTGGCGGGGAGGGGGGGAGTCTGCGGGGCGGCGGCGGTCCGGGCGTTCGCTGGCCTGGCGCGGGCTCCAAGCAGGCCGGCCGGCCGGAGGGTCGGGATGGCGCGCGCGGGGGTGAGCGGGGGCGGCGTCGGGTCACAGGCACTCGCAGCCCGCCGCGCAGCAGCCCGGCAGACACACGCACACGTGCACGCGTGCCCCGCACCCGCCCCCCGAGCGGGCTCCGGCCCGGGGCGGCGGCGGCGGCGGCGGCCGGGGGCGCGCGGGCCGGGGGCGGGCGGGGCCGCGGGCCCCCCGCGGGCAGCGGGCCGGCGGGGACGGCGCTCGGGGGCCCGCCCGCGCGGCACCCATACTCCCGGAGGGCCTCGCGGTCGGCGGCGCTGCGGGAGGCGCCCGCGGGGCTCGGGGCGGCCGGGGCGGGGAGGGGCGGAGCGCGGGCGGGCGGGCGGGCTTCTCGGCGGGCTCTGGCGCTGAGTGCGGCCTTTCCCGCAGGTCTGGATGTTCGTGGCCGGCTTCCTGCTGGCGCTGGCGCCGGGCCGGGCCGCGGGCGCGCCGAGGGCGGGCAGGCGCCCGACGCGGCCGCGAGGCTGCGCGGACCGGCCTGAGGAGCTCCTGGAGCAGCTGTACGGGCGCCTGGCGGCCGGCGTGCTCAGCGCCTTCCACCACACGCTGCAGCTGGGGCCGCGCGAGCAGGCGCGCAACGCGAGCTGCCCGGCAGGGGGCAGGCCCGCCGACCGCCGCTTCCAGACGCCCACCAACCTGCGTAGCGTGTCGCCCTGGGCATACAGGTGAGCGGGCCGCGCCGGGCCGCGCGGGGCGGGGCGGGCGTGGCCGGTGGAGCGAATGGGGCGGCTGGGCGTGGCCGGGTGGAGCAAGTAGGGCGGGGCGGAGCCCGAAGCAGCAAGTGGGCGGGTGGGTGCGGCTGGCTACAGCAAGTGGGGCGGGGCGGGGCCCGAGGGAGCAGGTGGTAGGCGTGGCCAGGTGGAGCGAGTGAGATCAGGAGGAGCAAGTGGACCGGTGGGCGTGGCCAGATAGAGCAAGTGGGGTGGGGCGGCGGGGAGGAGTGGGGCCCGAGGGAGCAGGTGGGCGGGTGGGCGTGGCCAGGTGGAGCAAATAGGACTCTTTGGGACGGGGCGGGGCCGAGCCGGTTGGAGCGAATGGAGGTTGAGTCTAGTGTTGAGTCTGGGACTGGACGGGACAGATGAGCTAGTGGGGTGGGACCAGACAAGGCGGGGTAAGCAGGGGTGGGGTTAGTGGGAGAGGGGGTTATTGGGAGGGATGGGCAAACCAGATGGGTAGGTGTGGTAATCTGGGCAGAGAGAGGGCAGGTGGAATAATTGGGTAATAGCAATTCATTAGTTCATTCCAGTCCCTTTCCTTGAAGGAATGCTACTTCCCTTTGTTTCCATTAATTCAAATGAGCCCCACCTCTTTACCGTGTGCAAAGTTAAGTGGGTTCGTTCTACCCTGGTTTACCGAGTGATCTATTTGTGTAGAACTTTGCACAAGAGACCTATTAAAGTTCTGATGTGGAAATCTAGGCGTTTTCTCGAGAGCCTATGTGGATGGAGACCTCTGGGTGCTCACCTCTGGACGGCACACTCTGTAAAGCTTCCATGGTGTGGTAGTTGACAGGTGCAGATGGGAAGATCGCATTTGAAGCAGATGAAAATGGCATGATAGCCGGATGCCAGTGGTTCACCCCTCTAATCCTAGCTATTCATGAGGCTGAGATCTGAAGATCGTGGTTTGAAGCCAGCCCAGGAAAGAAAGTCTGTGAAACTCTTATCTCCAATTAACTAGCAAAAAGCCAGAAATAGAGGTGTGGTTCAAGTTGGTAAAATGCTAGCCTTGAGTGAAAAACTTAAAGGACAGTGCCCAGGCCCTGAGTTCAAGTCCCAATATTGCCTCCAAAGCAAAACACACCTGAGTGCTGTGGCTTAAAGTGGTAGAGCGCTAGCCTTGAGCTGAAGAGCTGAGGGACAGTGCCCAGGCCCAGAGTTCAGGCCCCATGACTGGACCCAAAAAAATAAAAAGAAAAAAACACACCTGAGCTCCCTGATGCAAAGATGGAAGACCACCTTTCACTCCAGTCTCATTTTCTTGCTTTCCTCTCTTCCCACCATTCCCTCTACTTCAAAGTAGACCAAGATTAAATCCTACTTTCTACAGGCTGGGAAGATGGCTCAGTGGTAGAGTGAGTGCTTACCTCGCATGCATGAGGCCCTGAGTTTGATTCCTCAGCACCACATAAACAGAAAAAACTGGAAGTGGTGCTGTGGCTCAAGTGGTAGAGAGCCAGCCTTGAGCTAAAGAGCTGAGGGACAGTGCCCAGGCCGACCGACAAAAAAAAAAATTCTTCTTTCTCTCCAACCTCACTTTATGCTTTTGATATGCTAAATCGGATTAGGGAGATAATTCAAAAACCAGGGTCTGTCTGTCTTTAGGTAGACAAGCTGCCTGGCTGGGGCTGAAGTCCCAGGGTGCTGAAAGGCATAAGCTCAGGGACAACAGTGTCTCAAGCCCTGTTGGGCACAATGCCCACGTTTTTGGCTTAGGTTGTTATTCACTATATTTAAGCAAATAGGGAAACAGAATGTGAAGTGTTTTGAGAGGAAGCAAGGAGTTCACTGTTGGGCCTGTGGATCTCTGGCTGAGAGGCACAGGGAAGAAAGGCAGCCCTGTATGTGTGCATTTGGAGCTCAGGAGGGGAGTCCCGGCCCCAGCATGGTGCAGTCAGGTAGATTTGGCTGCCCTCTATAGGCACTGATGCCAGTGTCTGCCTGGGCTATAGTGGGAGGGGTGGGGAATGGAGGTCAATTAGACCTGATTGGGCTGCTCTCTTACCAGTCCTGTGTGGAACTGCAGAGGTGGGTGGTCCCAGGAACAGGGATACAATCAGGGGAATCTCCTGCAGCCTTTTTCACATTTTAGCAGCAATAATGAAATCGGTAGCTTACCCTGGAGACAGTCTTCCCGGGATGGCACTGGGCCAGGGCTGGCCAACTGTAGGGCAGGGCACTACAGATGGCCCTGCTTTCCAGCCAGGAGACCACTGCCTCCCCACCTCATGCCTCCACCCCTCCAACACCTCTTGGGTCAGTGGGAAGATGAGAAAAAGTCAGACCCAACATAAAAGCACAATGCCTATGTGCATTTGGTCATGGAAATGTAGACAAGGTTTTTTTCTTGGTTGCTGTTTTTGTTTTCTTTTCTTTTTGTCTTGTTTGTTCATTTGTCTGTCTTTGGGAAGACAAGGGAGGGACACAGAAATGGAGGGACAAAGGGTGCACAATGTAGCAGTGATACTCAGTCACTTTGGATGGGGATAAGAGGGAAAAATTAGGGGAGAGCAAGGGAAAGGGGTGACATTGTCCAAAAAGAAATGTACTCATAGCTGGGAGCTGGTGGCTCACGCCTGTAATCCTAGCTATAATCCTCAGGAAGCTGAGACTGAGATCGTGGTTCAAAGTCAGCCTGGGCAGGAAAGTCCATTTGACTCTTATCCCAATTAACCTGCAGAAAACCTGAAGTGGCACTGTGGCTCAAGTGGTAGAGTGGTTGCTTTCAGCTGAAGAGCTCAGGAACAGCATCCAGGCCCAGAGTTCAAGCTGTACAACCGAAAAAAAATGTACTCATTACCTAATTTATGTAACTGTCACCCCCCCCCCCCGTACATATCGCTATAATAACAGTTAAAAAAATTAAAGGAGGGGCTGGGAAGGTGGTTCAACGGTAGAGTGCTTGCCTTGCATGCATGAGGCCCTGGGTTCGATTCCTCAGCACCACATAAGCAAAAAGAAAAAAGCCAGGAGTGGCGCTGTGGCTCAAGTGGTAGAGCGCTAGTCTTGAGCTGAAGAGCTGAGGGACAGCACCCAGGCCAAAGTTCAGGCCCCACAACCGGACCCCCCAAAAAAAAATTAAAGGAAAAATGAGGTGCCAGTGCCTCATGTCTGTAATGCTAGCTGCTCAGGAGGCTGAGATCTGAGGATCGCAGTTCAAAGCCAGCCCAAACAGGAAAGTCTGTGAGACTCTTAGTTCCAGTGAACCACCAGAAAAACAGAAGTGGCACTGTGGCTCCAAGTGGTAGAATACTACCCTTGAGCAAAAGAGCTCAGGGATAGCACCCAGGTCCTGAGTTTAAGCCCCACAACCAATCATCATCATCATCATCATCATCATCATCAAGAGCTACAAAATGTAGAGTCTCTTTGCTAGACGGGTGGTGGGAGCACCTCCTTGGACTCCCTAGTAGAGTGCTTAGGAGCCCAGTGCCAGGGAGAAGATGGCTTCCGCTCAAGGGCAGAGGGCTTGCATTAGCCCTCCTGGATCTGCATGTTCCACTTTCACACACCCAACTAACAGCATATCAAAAATCTTAGAAAGCGAAGCATTGGTGGCTCACGCCTGTGACCCTAGCTACTCCAGAGGCTGAGATCTGAGGACCAGGGTTAGAACCTATCCCAGACAGGAACATCAATGAGACTCTTTTCTCTAGCTCACCACCAAAAAGCTGGAAGTAGAGCTGTTGCTCAAATGGTAGGGCACATCCTTGAGGGAAAACAAACAAAAACCCAGGCTTTGACTTCAAACCCCAGGTACCAAAAGAAAAAAAAAATGTTTTCTAACAATCAAAAGCATACATATACATATATATATGGATATTTTTGTAGGATATGTATTGAATTTTATGACCGCATTCTCCCCCCACTTCCTCTCTTCATTCCTCTACCCTCCTTCCCTTGCCTCCCCCACACCTTTCCCAATGCCCATTTCCTGGTGTTTATGTTGTTGGACTCCTGAATTAGCCTTTCCAAGGTATTACATAGTTTGAGTTCTCCCTTGAATCTACCATATTTTGGCTATTATGTTTGTGTATGCTTGTATAACACCCCAAAGTATTTACTCCCATATTTATAAATTAATATTAGGCCCACATAAGAGAGAAAACATAATTTCCTTTTTCTCTCTGTGCCTGACATGATTTTTCCCCCTCATTGTTTCCCAAAAAATACAACACAAGAACAACTTACAGGACATGCACACATAGGAATTGCAAGTCATCTAGCTGTGGTTTAAGTCTTCATGATACATTTTATATAAGGGACCTGAGCTTAGGAAAAATTGGCATTTTGTTCTAGAGGTGTTAGAGCCCTTCCCCTGTGGTACCAAGGAACAAGATAAACATAGTTCTATAAGCAAGACAGTTGGCAAGAACTCAAAGAAGATTGGATAGGGAAACAGATTGCAAGTTAGAAATACCAATGCTTACAGGAAGAATCATTTTAGGCAGTAAGATGGCTTTTAAAATAGGCATTTAAAAAACTGGGTGCCAGTAGCTCACACCTGTACTCCTAACTCAAGAGGCTGAAATCTGAGGACCCTGGTTTGAGGCAACCGGGACAGGAAAGTCCATGAGACTCTTATTTCCACTTAACCACTAAAAAAAGGAGGTGGAGGAGAGCACTAGCCTTGAGCACAAAAGCTCAGGGACAGTGCTCAGGCACTAAGTTCAAAGCCCCACTACTTGCGCGCACGCGCGCGCGCGCGCGCGCGCACACACGCACACGCGCACGCGCACACACACGCACACACACACACACACACACACACACGCACACACACACACACACACAGAGTATTGGGAATGTCAGGAGGCCTTCTGGGTATTTGGGGAAGAGCAGCACCATGGTGTTGACACAACTGAGTTACCAGCTGGGAAAAATACAGTTGGATCTCACACTTATATGAGAATAAAATTCTAGATGACTTAAAGATTTAAATGTAT